TTTCAAAGTCAAGCATTCTCAGCATATATTTATCAGTAACAACAGAAGAAGTACGATTGCCAATCACCTAAATATTTACACTACTTCTACACARGCCTGGAACAACGGATAGAATACATACTGGCTGAAATCATTATTTGGCAGTATGCAATGTAGAATACATCACTTACTAGTTTGCTCTGTAATTCTCCTTTTACTGTGCTATACAACAAAATGCTACCAACTGCTGTGCCAATAGCTAGGATATCTAACTGCTTGTCCACTTCTGTAACTTCAGACTTCCGTTTTTTCCTCTGTGGGCCATCCTGGAAAATTGAAAAGGAAAACAAGAAACAAGGTTAGTTTCAACAGATACTCCAAATACTAGAGTAGAGGAAAAGAAACTTCTCCTCCCTCACTTTCAGACACTGTCACCAGGTGCAAACTCCGTTACGGTGCAATGATGAAGGTACTTGTACTCTTGTACCTCCATATACAAGGTCATGAAGCTGTTAYGAGTCACTTGGAAATATCTGAAGGAGAATATTTTGCTAGCCTAGTGACTACATACACAACGGAAAACTCATCTCTTTCAAGGAGATAGCTTCCCAGAGACAGAAGTAAGGATTAACTAGATCAGAATATTTCAGCTCCAAAATGGAAAAGATTGTTGGTTTTGCCAGAAATGATCAGTTTATTACATCCTAAAAGCTACTCACAGCACTTTTGCAAAACCTAAATAATCRTAATACCTCTTAAAAAAGAAAATGCCAAAGCACTTTACACAGGGATGCACCTAGGACTTGAAGCTGATGGATTTATCCAGGCCCTGAAGTTGATATCACAGGTTCTCTCACAATYGGGCAACTCTCAAGTCTTTTTCTCTTTATTTGAGGGGCACCTGATAGAGGGTTTTCACTTCATCTTTCTTAACCAAAAGTGTGCAAATACAGYGTATCTCTGGGAAGGAAGGAACAGAAGTGGTGCTTGGCCAAATCATAACTAAGAAATCATTGAATTTTTTCTCACTCAGTTCATCTCACATAAATAATCAAAACAAAACAAACAGCATCACTTCAGAACAAGACAACATCCCCATCCCCAAAGCTGCCAAATAGATTTTATATTGGACTTAAGWAAGTTTCTTTATGAATTTTTCTATCATGACCAAAGCATCCTCCCAGATTTAAAAAAAGTCACCACAGTTAGTTTATGCTTCCTGTACACAGCAGATTTTTGGCTGTAATGAACAACCAGAAGAAACCAAAATATTCATACAGAAAAGTAAAGCACAAGCAACCAGCTCAATGTAAGCTCCATGTGGTGTTGCTGCCTGATGTACAGTAGACATAGCACTCCGGAATTTTTACTCAAGTTCACCGATGTAATGCTTATCAAGCTTTCACCAAGCTCAAATTTAAAGTTTTAACAGTGCAGTATAGAACATCGCTTCTTTGAAGAAATGGGACTTCTATCTATGTGTGCTGAAAACACAGAAAAGYTTTCCAAAAGAAAACGTGTTTCATTTCAAGCCAATAAATAAAGAAATGCCATATAACTACTTTTACACGAAAAGCAAGCTCTAGAAAAAGCAGAGGACGCTATTTTTTGCAAGTATTTGTTTAGACTTCATCTTTCCTGGGAAAAGAAAAATGTTTATAAAATACAGTGAAAACAAAGGTGCTGAGAAACCACTGCAGTTGCAAAGCACAACCAAGTAAATCGATCAGGTTTTAAGACAACGTATAGTAAAAGACTCATGTATTAATTAAACTAGTTAAGTTTTTGGCACCAATGCCAACTGAGCCATTCTGAAATATTTCTTTGATGTGCAAGGATAAGGAGCAACCAGGCCAGGGGAGTGGCAAGTACAGCTTTTCTGATACTTTCTCCATCTCCTCAGATAGTTTTATTAGTCAATCATTCCAACTCTTCACCCCCTTTTCAAAGCTAAAACGCAAATGAACTACTTRCCTCTTATTTCTTTGCATTTTCAGTCTTTTACCTAAAATTCACTAACTCTCCTTCAATTTTCATTTGTTACAACTAACCTCTCTTGATAAAATCCAGAAGGTATCATTACACAGAAACAAAATCACAGGGACGTCCACAGATTTCTTCAGTTAATGAGAAAGCTAAGAGCTAAAGTTTATCCAAAGACCTTTTTTTTTGGTAAACATATTAATTCTTTATTTACAAGTCCTCACTGGAATTACTAATGGGGCATTTTTCATAAAGTTCTGAGAACTAACAAATTAAACTTCTCTCTTGACTCTCTTTAGATAGTCCATAGACAGCATTCTTGCAAACTTGCAATAGAGAGGCATGTGAAACTTCCTTGTAGATCAGGACCTTAAATATGAGAACATCAACTTGCACAGACAGGACATGGGAGCTTAATTACATCAATTATCAGTCACTTCTAAATTTTCAGATTTATGGGAACTTCAGTATTTAGTTCTTCAACTCTCAGAGAARAGCCACTGTATTTTATCTGGTAATAAAGGTTTAAAAATAAGCTAAAAGTTAAGGGGACATGCATGGGGTCTTCCAAAATGTTCTTTTTTTGAGTTTGGCAGACACTGAAATAGAGAGTTACCTCCACTGAAGAAACACATCCCTGCTGCTCAGATAAGAAGCATTTAAAGCACTACAGCACCAAAAAACCATGGAGTCAAAGGTGGCAGAACGGTTATCTGAAGATATCTTCATATCTTATATGAAGAAACTGGAGGGAGCTGTTTTGAAAGCCTGGTGGACCAGCACTGCTGCACAAGGCACCAACTCGTGGAAGGGGACACGACGAACGTGAGAAGTGGGAAGCACTCACACTATCGCGGCGTGTGCAGGAAGGTCCCAGTAAACCACCATGGTACCAGTGATTCCAAAAGGGGGGCTCCACCACGCAATCGGCTGCCCTTCTTACAGTTCAGAGTTTGGACTGGTGAACTGATMAGAACAGAAAGATTCTGCTCCCTCACATGGGTCATCAGTGCTTTGAGCACTTCAAAATACTTGTTATGGAATTTTCAATAGACTGAATTCTCTATATGCCAGTATTGGGAGCTCAGAAGCTCATTTCTCACACTCCTCTCTAAAAACACAGCCTTCATTAACACGGCAAGAGTCCAAATATACTTAGCTTAGGTGTAACTTGGCCAAACACCATTTCTAGATATCCAGCGGTACAGTGTTATTGCTTAACGTAGATACTAGTAGTACTAGCTACTAGAGGTGCTCACTCTCTGCAAAAACASGGAGGGAAAAGAAAAAAAAAAGCTAAATAAAGTTGGAAAAAAAATGCAACTCAAGGTATTTGGCAGACCCATCACAGCTTCACCTCGCTTTGAGGACAAAGCAATGAATTAGGAAAGCAGGCATGGATATTCCCAGGCACGGAACGCCTTCCAGCTCCAACTGTGGGGCAGCTGACAGCATCCATGCTAGTGGGGTGACAGGGAGCACCTGAACGCAGCCAGACGTGGTCCAACGAAGTCCCCTCTTTGGGMAGTCCTACAAAAAGGCTGAACTGCAGCATCGGGAACGTTTGGGGCGGCTCTCTGGGAACAAGCAGCACTTTTCAGAACTTACCTGCTGTAGCACAGCAGTGCTCTGGGGCAGGGCTTGAAGGAGCGTTACAGGCGGCAGAGATTAGCCCCCCTTTCACACGCACGTTTCACTTTGGACGCAAGAAAGACTCAGAAGCACCTACACGGCTTTAGTCAGTGCGTGTATCCTGTAGCCTTCTCCCCTGCCCCTCCTCCCCCTGCTTCAAGTGCCTTTCAAACAAGTTAAAGAAGGGTCAGCCCAAGACTAATGGGCTCCACCACATGCTCAGGCATCCATCTTAAAAGTTTATGGAGCTAGAGCTGCTGAACTGACAAAAACAGAAAGTTTCTCTTCCCTCGCACGAGTCATCAGCGCTAGCAGCACTTGCAAACACTCGTTATGGCATTTTCAGCGTATTAAACCGTTTGTACAGCTGGGTGTGTTTGCAGAGCCCTGGGTCACAGTATTTCCAGCGCAGAGGGGACGGACGGTGCCACCGCAGCCCAGCGCGACCCGGCTCAGGAAGGGGTCGGTCCGGGGAAAGGGAAGGGGACCCCCGGGCACGCAGGCCCCGGCGACCCCCCCGCGGGCATTTCCAGGCGGGGGCCTGGCCGAGGCGGCCGCCGCTGCGCCGCGCGGGCCCGCCGGGGGCCGGGAAGGCCCCGGGGAGGCCCCGGGAGCCGCTGCCCGCGGCCCTGCGCGGCGCCCCAGCACGTGCGGCGGCCTCGGGCCCCAGGCCC